CTTTTTTCATAAGATTTGCCTGAATTCTGTTATTGGAATATTTAGATATGGGAGAATTTTTGTTGATTTGGTAATTGAGTTTTCAAAGTTTTCAAAAACTGAAATCTTTTTAATTTGACAATCAAATTACCAATTCAACAAATTAACAAAAATCTTCCTATATATAACTTAATCTTCAATTACCGAAATCTTTTCAAAAAAAGAAAAACAAATCCAAGTAAATCAACTTAAATGTTACACATAAATGCATAGATATTTAAAAAAAATGAAACTATTTAGAAATATTTTGTAAAATTAAAAAAAGTTTGGAAATATAATTTTGCAAATACTTTTAAATTAGCAAAAAAAAAAGAAAAAAAAACTGCAATCCCTGAGCCCGGACTACGAGAGAGAGAGGAGAAAACGAGGGAGGAGAGAGAGAGCGAGAGAAGAATACTCATTTTTTCTTTCTCTTCTCTCTCATTTTTTTTCTTTAATCTCGTTTGATTTGGAGATAATCGAGGTATTTTCCAGTTAGAAAAAAATGAAGTTTCTTATATTGTATAGAACCAAAATAGCTTACTTTGTTGGTCAAAGAATACTCAAGTTTTTATGAAAAAAAAAATAAACAAAGGAGAGAGAGATTTTTCGTTGATTCATGCGGAAAAAAAACGAAGAGAAAGTTTGAAATCCATAAATTCTAAAAATTTTGAAGAGAAAAAAATGGAGAAGTTTCGTAAAAATCTAAAAAATTTGAAAAGAGAGAAGAAGAGAGATGAGGGGGAAGGAGAGAGAAAATATGAGATTCAAATTAAAAAAGAAGGGAAAGTAACAAATTTGAAATTTTGACCCCTCTCATAGAATTTATAATCTCATTCGGAAGAAAACTAATCTATGCCTCCATTGTTCATTATTTATTAATAATTTCATAATTTTTAAATGTGAAATTACTAATACCCTCATGATTCAAAATCAACCATCTCTCCCCCACAAATTTCTTTCCAATCTTTATTCCCTCCACAAATCTCTCACAATAATTAATTACAACCCTAAAAAATCTAATTTTGAAAAAATAAAAAACGTACATAATTACATAAGATTTGTACGAATTTAATTACAGAAAAGTCAAGATTACAAAAATCTCGGATCAATATTGCATTAAATGCACGAGATTTAATTGATAACAATAAGGCTAGGAGGAGAGAGAATGCCAAAAAAAACTGAAATTTGGGGATCCCGGTCAATTAAATTTTGGGCATTTAATGCAATTTTCACCCGACATTTATGAAATCTTAATTTTTTTTAATTAAATCCCGACAAATCTTATGCATTTATTCCTGGATCATGCAAATCTTTTTTTCACCCTAATTTAATTATTGGAGGATTTAATCTACATATTTTTTTTTTGTGTGGATTCGTTTGGTTAAGTAATTGATTCCTAAATTAATCCATATTAGATTCAAATTAAAAAAAAATGATGAGGGTTGAGAGAAGAGATTGGTGGATAATTTTACTTAAAATAAACAAGGATATTTTGGTAATTTTACAAAGACAAAAAGTAGAAATGGGTCACAAATTAGAACAAATTAGGGTTAAAAATCCAAATGAGCTATATAATGGGATTAGAAACCTTAATTTTCTCAATTTTAAGTATGTTAATGGATGGGTAGGACAGTAATTTGGAATGGAAGGTGACGTCAGCAAATATTTTAACACAAGAGCTAGATTTCATAATAATGAGAACGCAGCTTAAATTTGCCATACTACCCGAGCTGGGAATTAAGGAGACGATCACACTCAAATTCTTTCCGTAATTACACCCTGTTGGGATTTTCGTGGATAGGATACTAACCTCTTGTAGCATCTTGTAACGTAGATCAATCACGAAGGGAAAGTCTAAAATCTTCAAGGGGTGAAGAATTTTTTGAGACAATCCAACGCCCTCTTCCTTCTAAAAACTACATCTTTTGTTTTCCAAGGAAATACACAAACAAAATGAATTTGAATTTCTGAATTTTAATTAAATCCTACACACCTCATATGTAAGTAATCGTACTTTCCAAACAAACATTCTCTCATTTGTTTTGCCTGAACAAATTAGCAAACATTTTATCCTAAGCAATTTAGAATTAAAAGAGTAAATACCTATCTGAACAACAACCTTGTGGTGGTTCAGTAGGACACCGACCTTGTTACGGAACAACAACCTCAAGAAGAAGAATCTGAAGAACCACAACCATCCGAAGAAGAAGAAGATTAACAACAACCTGAAGAAGAAGAATTTGAAGAACAACAACCTCAAGAAATAGAATCTGAAGAAGAACAACTTCAAGAAGAAGGCACAAGAAGGAACAGAAAGAAGAAACCACAAGAAGGTAGAGGAGAGTAATGTGATCTCGTAGAGGAGAACAGCTTCCTCGTAGAGAACAATCTCCGGAAGAATCTGAAGAACAACAACACCTCGAGAAGAAAAATCTGAAGAACGAAACAACCATCCAAAGAAGAAGAAGAATCTGAAAGAACAACAACCTTAGGAAGAAGAATCTGAAGAAGACACAAGAAGGAAGAAGGAAGAAACGGAAAGAAGAAGGCACAAGAAGGTAGAGGAGAGCAATGGGACCTCGTAGAGAACAATATCCGGAAGAATCTGAAGAAGAACAACAACCTCAAGAAGAATAATCTGAAGAACAACAACCATCCGAAGAAGAAGAATAATCTGAAGAACTATGTTCCATTTATCTATTATTGTGTATAGTTACGTCATCAATGGAGATTTGCATAGACCAGAAACTTAATTCTTAGATAACTTCATTACGAAAGTCATCGTGAAGGTGCGTCAAGGATCGTGTAATTGACCAATTTAGTTTCTTTACATGTAGATCGAGGAGTTCAATGATGTTAACAGCAACTACATGATTTTTTTTTGGTGAGATGGGAAGATGATATTTGGAAAGGTTGTCTTCTGAATCTGATATTGTAATCCTCATAGCACAGTTTCTATGGCGCTTGGCCACAGAAACTTTGACGATCTTTGAATCTTTTGGGACTTGAATTTGAAATATCGATTCCCTTTTTAGGCCATTTTGTTGCAGTTCAGAGAAAATCAAGAACAATTGTGGGATTTTAATACTTTTCTTTGTTAAGAATTATGGGTTCGTCATTTCTATCTAAAATGAAAAATATTTAGAACAGCTGAAAATTTGAGAACATTTATGTTTAAATCACGTGCAATTATTATTATTAGGTTTAAATATTGTTTTGTTATCATGAGTGGCTCATTTGGTCCACATTGACGGAAATAAATTCAAATCCTATGATGGCCACCTACGTAGAATTACGCTTACTTCTCAAGGTGGTAGAGCCTTTAAAGGAGCTAGAAATTTATGTATGGAGAGGTAAAATTTTATATCTGTACCACCTTTCAATTTTCAATAAAAATGACATACAATGAAAAAAAAAAAACTATTCTCCTGGGACGCTGTAGTTTATCATATAATAACTTTTTTAAACTTCACATGTAAGTGATACTGTAGCTTATTATTTTTTATTTTTTTATTTTATAAAAAACTAAAGTAATATATGAATTTCTATTAAATTACTTTTTGTCAAAGTCCCCTCCATAGAATCGACCATTACATGGACAAAAACAATAACCAAAATAATGGTAATAAATGGTGGTAGAAATAAAGTAGAAATAAAGAATGAAAAAAAATGATGAACGTGCAGAGAGAAGAGAGAGAGCGTTGAGTGAATACATATTTCAAATCAAATCATTAATAAAAAAAAACGAAACCAAACCTAACAGTGACAGTGACAGAAAGAGAACTAAGTTATTTCCCGAACAAGTTTAATTGATTGCAAATATAGTAAAAGAAAAAAGAAACGTCAAACCCCAACCTACTTTGAAAAAAATTAAAATAACTTTGAAATGTCTATCGATCACCGTATGAATGATACATTTTAAGTTAAAAAAACACATTTGATCCCTATACTTCCACATTTAGTCCTTATACTTTCCCTAAAGTAATAATTTAGTCCATACACTTTAACTTGTAACTATTTAATCCTTATAGTTTAAAATTTCTAACAATTTAGTCTCTATTGTAATTTTTTTTTTAAATTAAATGTCAAATTTTATCGTATAACAATTTAATCTTTTTAATTCATAAGCATATTTGGTCCCTCTTTAGTTTATCAATCTATAAATACAAGAAACTTAACAAAAAAAATTTTACAATAAGGACTAAATCGTGACCAACTTTAAATTACAAGGACTAAAGTCTTACATATTAAAGTTGAAGGACTAAATTGTTACTAATTTAAAAATACAGGAACTAAATCGTTACAAACTAAAGTTTATGAACTAAATTGTTACTTTAATGAATTATTTTATAATCTACGGTTTAATCTATCAGTGATATATGGTCCATCACTCCTGGTGTAGTCAAAAAGTAGTGTTTTTTGACTCAATTTTTAAAAACAAAAATTAAAAAATGAAATAATTATCGAACCTCGTCTAAGACTCGATCATTAGGGAAGGGGCGCTCACCTTTTTTTTTTGGCTGACCCGTATCTTGCTGGGTGGGACCAAGAGAAAGAAAGGACGGGGGGCAACCATGCATGGTACTTCTCGACCGTGTCTCCGAGGGACAGTTGAACGAGCGACTCATGAATGCTGCCGGGTTGGACGAGCCAATAACTCGAACGCCTTCGGTCTGTTTTTTGAGCAAGAATCACAGCGTTACCTTACCTTCACCATGATACGGACTCCAAGTTCTTATGGCGGAGCACGAGGAGATTTATCATCAATATGATGATGGGAATGGAAACCAGAAGCACGACCGGGGTCCAAGATAAATCATTAGCGTTTAGTCGATAACAAGAAGTTCTTCATCTTTAATCTTAGCCTCCTTGTTTGAAAGATGTTCATCTTTAATCTTTGATTTCTTGTTCCTTCTTTCTGCAGAAAGACGTTGATCTTAAATCTTTGCCAACAATTCATCGCAACCCCTTCCTGCAGAACTACCATTTATAAGCAAGCATAAGTACAGATCATGACCAAAAGAATAACGTTTCTGGATTGTAAAAAATTGTAATAGACATTTAAAGAATATTATGCATACCAGATTGTGTTGGAAATCTGAAAAACTTGGGAAAAAACACATTAGTGAGCACAAGTGCGTGAGTACAACCTGAGTCCCTACAAAAAATGTTTATATTTATTATGATGAAAATGTTATTTGAATAAAAATTAAATACATACTAATTCCATGTCCAAATAAACAAGCTTCTCTTGAATGTGGCCAGCTCTGTCCGCACGCAACTTATCCAAGAGGGGGGCGGAGGAGGAGGAGATGGGAATGACAGTAAGATCATCGTCCATGACCATGAACTTCTTTGACATAGGTCTTGCTTCATGGATTCGGAGCATTTGGGACACAATGCAGCACATGTAGAGGTAAAGCTAGAGTGAGAGCTGGGAGTAGAACATGTATAATAGCTGGTGTGTGGAGAAGAAGAATATTTGATTTTCAAGAGGTTTCCAAGCTGGGATTTGGTGGTACTGGATGGAAGGATGGGGTATAGGAGGCTGTGTTTGATTCGAAATAGTCGGTGTTTAAGGTGTGTACGCTGTGGTAGAGGTTTGCGAGGGACGATATTACGTGATCCATGCCAAAGTCGGGTGGGCCGTAGGCGACCAACTCAGCCACAGTTCCCATAGGGAGAGAAAGTATGGTGAAGAGGAAGTCTATGAATTTCTTGTCGGCTTCACCGGTATAGAATCTGCTTCTCAGTCATGTCTATCACAATCTTCAAACTTACTCGCCTGCTAGACATGCTTTTTCTCTTTGATTTCCAGAATGAAGGATTCTTTATATAACTAACTTCAGTTCAATCAATAACTCTGTTTTTCGACCCAAAATTACAGAAAAAGAATCAAATCAGTCGCTTCAACACTAAAACCCACCCTTCAAAATTCCAACTTAAACACAAGCTACCTAGATATACACAAGGATGATGTAATAGAATAACAAACAAATTTAAGAAACTAAGAGACCACGACAATCCAACGATAAGTATTTTCAACATAAGAGCTAGATTTCAGAAGAATGAGAACGCACCTGAAATTTGCCATACGCGATTCGATCCAGAACAAAACGAAGGCAAAACGTACGATACGCGATTCGATTCAGAACGAAATGAAGGGAAAATGATTCAGATCGTGATTTGAATCCCAGTTTCCGATGATGGAACTGTGAAAAACGGACGAATCGAAACGTTCCGATTAAGAAAACAAACAAAAAATTAGGGCTTGTTTACTAGCATGATCGTGGCCGTGACACGCTGAAAGAAGAAAAAGAAAGATGAAGAAGAAGAAGAAAGGGCGACAGTGCAGGGTTGGTGACTTGAAGAAGAAGAAGCGGTTGATGAAAAATGAAAATTAGGGGGAAATTTGAATATATGATCCCCTTCACAAAAAAACTAATCTTTGACCTCACCCGCTTAATTTTGATTCCTTTCATAATTTTAAATGTTAAATTATTTCAAAATCAAGCAATCCCTCCCTCCTCGTTATTAAAATAAAAAAAAATTTGTCCAAATTTAATTATAAAAAAAAGTCAAAATTTCATAAATCTTAGGTCAATATTGCATTAAATGCTCAAATTTATGAAATCTTAACTTTTTTTTTTAATTAAATTCGAACCTACATTTGATATTCCATATTAAACAATTAAATTTTTAGGGTCACGATTAGTTTTTTTTAAAGGGATCATAAATCCAAAATGATTAATGGTCAAATTTCCCAAAATTAGGGTTGGGGGAGGCATGTAGAGATATTCACGGCTTCCAGCTATGGGGAAACCAAAAGAAAAAAAAAAACATGACTGATTTTTAAAATTAAAATTTGCAATTAAAATTGGAAACTTATGGCTGCCATAAAAAGGAATATATTTGATTATGGGGAAAAGATTAAAAATATTGGTGTATTCAAATCGGATTCGGAAACTTTTTAAAAAAATCTTCGTTTGAATACGTGTCCAGAAGAAAATTATTATAGATCTCATTAAATCAATTGATATTAATTGAGGGCAATTTAAGGTCAAGAATTAAAAACTTAGATCTCCAAATCTAAATATGAAAAAAAACTGAAATATAGTGTATAATTTCACCCACAAAAATAAATAAACATCTTAATTTGGTAAATAGAGTATCTTTTGATTTATTAAGAAACTTTTGACTTTTGAATCATTATATGGGTTTAACATTTCTCTATATAAACATCTAAATATTTGGTAAATAATAAAAACCATTCAAAAAAAGTGAATTTTGAATACTTTAATGATGGTGCCTATTTAATCTTTAAACGTTGTTAAATAAAGGTTGATGTTGAATGTCGTTTGGACTCACGAATAATAACTTATCATCGAATAGAGTAGAGTTGTTGAATAAATATGTGAATTATAGATACAAAAGATATATATATATATTCAAAAAAAAATGACAACAAATTTAAGGATTTCACCTTTAGTCTATGAAAACATTATCTCTCGATGATCAACCTTAAATTTTGACAAATAAGATAGAGATTTAGAAAATAAAAGAGAAATACATGGATTCTATACAAAGAACTCATTTTTTCTTACATTGCTATTATTGTTGGTTGGTGTGCTAAGTCAAATCAATTTCTTATTAAGAATTTAGTTAGTTTAATTAGTTTTTATTTTTCATTTATAGTTTTTCTTAGTATAATAAATAAAGGTGGGGAAGATTTGAAGTCATGACCTCTTGGTCAGAGATGATATATGTCAATTACCGCTCAACTATGCTCATATTGACATGTTTTTATTTAGTTGAAAGAATAAATTATGGATTCAAATTTTCAATCCCCAAACCAAAAAACAAAATGGAGATGAGGGACTAAAAATTTTCAAGAATGGGAAAGAACATCCTCACTCCCGCTCCATGCTACTGTCATCTTTACCTACAATGAATTTTCTCTCTCTAATATAATAGAGTAGAAGGCTATGCACAACAAGCAGAAACAGAATAACCTCGAGGAAATACTCAGAGAGAATTGAAGTTTTACCAAGATACTAGTATTATACTAGAGACGTCAAGTGAATTGCTTTAGAAACTCTGATGCTACGAGCCTTCCTCGAGTGTTCACGGACATTTTAAGTTCACTGATCTCTTTATCAATATCCTGCACGTGGAACAAAACAAACAAGATTGTTGTACTAGCTCAAGAAAGCTTCTGAAATAATGTATGTCTGTGGCTAGCCCAGAAAAGAAAACAGCATACATAAAGAGTACGGTTAATTTGTTCGAACAGGTAAATTAAGAAGAGCAGATTGCATAGTAGGACGACAGGTGCAAAAATCATGTAGAAAATTAAGTTGAATAAGATGCAATCAAGTAAAAAAAATCCGAAAAAATGTATGTGATGGTGATAAAATTCTTGCCTCCATGAATTGTACAATGAAATCAATGAGTCTCTGCTTCTGCAACTCCTCACAGTGATAGTTTGTGATGAGAAAGCTAATATCATATCCCTGTTAAATGAAGCCGAAAGGAAACAAAAGATTAATATTCTGAAAAACTCTTATGCGTGACAAGATTCATGATATTAGAGGCTCATGCTATTATTCACTTTAGCTTTGAGGAAAAAGAAAAGAGAAAGAAATGAGACAGGACTTTAACATTACTAAAACCATGCTTAATCCAGAATCTTTAAAAGTTCAAGGCAAGACATGCCTGACCAGTGGCCATAAATATTTGACACCACAACAATCTAATGCTTATTGAGAAAATTCTCTCTTGAAAAGACAAACTAAGGGTAGGTCAATCCCAAGACCACAGTAACTAAGTTACGTAGACACAAATAGTGTCGTTAAAAGGTTTCACCATACGTGATTATGGGTACAGTTTTATATTGTTCCAACCACTCTGATAATAAAAGTAATTGGAGAACGTCTCTTATCTCTCTATACCACAAAGATGAACCTAGAACTCACATTACAGTTTTCCCTCAATTAGTTTCTTGAATATATTATATTAAATTTAAGCATAAAGTTAACTTCATGATTCGAAACTCTCAATACCTGTACGGGTTTTCGTCTCAGAACCTTAAAAGCTTCTGCCCGCATTGACAAAAATCGAAGGAACTTCTTAGTTAAAATGTTCTCCAGTTCATCTGTCTGCTTAACCTATGCACAAGAAAGAGTTCGAGCATAAGATAATTGTGAATAAGTTGATGGTGATCTGTAATAAATATCTCAGACATTCAGCCGTGTTTCTTCAGCTAAGCTAGACAGGATCAAAAGAATTAGCCTAAGTAATTGAATGGATGGAAAAGGGAGTACATATGCCCTTCAAGGTTGAAGTTAAACCTTCGGGACGAACCCAACCAATGACTAAATGTTAAAAAGATGACCAAGAATCAAAAACATACAACTATGAAGTACCCTCTTAGACGTAAGTGTCCACTTTTCCGCTTATACATCAATAATATGCATAGCCTAGTGATTAACTGTCTACAATATTAAGAACTCAACTCAATCCATGAAAAACATTCTAAATTACTAACTCCAATTCAAAGGAGCATTTTAAGCCGAAAAAAAATGGCCCCACAGAACAAAGGTACCTCTCTCTTTATCGCCTTATCAGTATCAGCAAAGCATAGAAACAAAATTCCTCAAAATTCACCTTCAAGTCTATTGCCAAAAGATTAAAAGTAAGAAGAAAATAAAATCACCTTGAGACTTATGCGAAGTGAGTTTATAGATGTCTCAATCAAACACTTCTCTGATTCATTTCTACATATTGAGATCTGCAAGAGCAAAACATTAAAGGATCATAGATGTCCATCAACATATCACTGTTATATAAACGTATAGAAGTCATTCCCCGACTGCACCCTAACTCCTAAGAATGTTTTTTGCATGCCCATGATTCTCCAATTAAAAGGAGAAAAAACGACATCAACAAATGGTAAATTGCCAAGCACAATGGCATTTAATGATGGAAATGGCAACCGTCAAATAGGAAATCTAAGCTGTAAAGGGATCTTACAGGATTGAGAAGAAGTTCCGGGCTGGTCCTGGAAGAGGAAAAACAATAAAATAATTAGCATGGGGTAAACAAGAAACTAACAATATTTCAAGAACAATATACTTAGCCTTTCTAAAAAGTAGTCCTTATTTATCTGCTTACCCAGTAGCATGGCAGGTATTCATACAAGTCACTAAGACAGGTAGTTATTAACCAATTATCAACAACATGTTAAACTAACCAATACAAGCTGGGGCTTAGTTGAAATAAACCAACCAATGAGAAAACGCATTTAAAAGACATAACACGTAACAGTAAAGCTAAGAAGTAACCGAAATGATTTATATAAAAGAAAGATAATCACAATATTACACCCCTACGCAATATTGATAAGCGAACAACTACCAGATAACCAAAAGAGCCGATGACTAAAAGTTCCCTAGTTCAATTGCTTTGTATAAACTTCACAAGGCTGTGTCGAGATTTTTCATACAGTGACCTCAAGAATGTTCGCAATGGTGCATATTAATGAAATCATTAACCAGGCAACTCGGGTCACCAATGGCTCACAAACAATGATATATCTAAAATAATTATAGTAAGAAGTTTTAAAATGTACGAGAGACAAAACCATACTTTAGTTCAACCTCTGGCTTGTTATGTCTTTCAACTTCTTGACAAGGAAAATTCTGCAATTATGTGGAAATTTTTTTTTTTTTGACAAATCAAACGTTATAAATATGTTGAAGTAAGTTAGACAACCAAGGATATTTATATTAGAGCAAATATCCAGAGTAATCAATGATTTCAAGAAATAGAAAGTGGAGGAACACCATACAAAAATATAACCGGTCATTCATAGGTTTGCACTTCATTCACTCTCAACTCAATGTACTTACTACTCGAGAATACTGATATTCACTACTCTTAACGTACACACTGTTAACTTGGAGCCTAGAGGGATATTCGAGTTCGACCACTTAAGCCACCTGACTATCTATGAAGTTTCTCCAAGACAAATAATGCGAAGTGTAAGCAGAAGAGAGAACTCAATATTAGAATTCAATGACTTCTTTCTCCTTCAACAAGAAGTATAAATTAGAAAGTATTTTTGACCTCTTCGTGACTAAAAATACTAAAAGCATGGCACTCTCTAGATTTATTATGACAAATTAACATTTTATTTAATGAATGTTTGCACTTTGGATGGAAATTAAGAAAACCTAGCGAAACGTAAAGAAGTATTTCCACTCACTTACACATCTATGTATATTCAGCAAGAAACAAATACAAACAATGTGTTCGGCTTAACATTGCATTCTTCATATTCTAACGCCAATAATCCATAGAATGAAAAGTCAGTTGACGTAGCTCTCAGGTATTCAAGGACAAACTATTTTACAGAATCTAATAAGTTTGATTCGAAAAATAATATAACAAAATACAAATAACTGCACTCATAACCGAAATTAAATCGAAGCAACAACACGACGATGACAGATATACCTGAAGGCACATCGCAGCCTCAAGAGTGTTCCGTATGCACGTCAAATACAAGCGCAAAGTGTTTGCCTGAGTTTTCACATACAGAAAGAAAAATCAGGATAGAAAACAAGACAAAAGAACAATCTCATTTTGACAAAAAATTACTGAAGCCAAACACATGATCAAAAGTCAAAAAACATATGGGAGCAAAGCCAGCTTCCTTCGATACTATGAAGAAATCCGCAAAACACTGAATCTCGAATTGTTCCATGTCCATTACCACCATCAATTTCACTATAAAAATAAGTTAAATCGGACATCGCTAAGTTAAAACAAATGAACTCCATTAGCAACGATCTTCTAATTATTCAAAACAACTTTAGAAAGAGCAAAGATCAACAGAGACAAGAATTGTTTGTTACCCACCATTTTATGTAGAGCAAAGATCAAGCTCCCTGCGTCCGACGCCGGCGGAGGTGGCAATTGGCGAGACTATGAAAGCCGGGTGCTGCAACATCAAAGAACAAAGGGATGTTAAAACCCTTGAAAATCTTGGGTATTTGCAGAGGATTACAATTTACAAGCAACCCTTTACCTGGAATCCGATTCCTTTGAAACAATTCGTGTATCGAACAACACAGATTCTGACCTAACTTAAATTTATTTGGGCCCGTGGATGAGAAGAGAAATTAACAGTGCGCAACGTAGTAGCCGATGAACAGTGCTGTCTAGGAGGAGTGGAATTGGATCGATAATTTCCCTTCCTGCCTTTCAAATCCAATGTTGTTCAAAAACTGATTAATGCACTTACTTCTCAAAAAAATAAAATAACAAGAAAAAAATCTGACCTGCCGGATTCGAACCAGCGACCTAAGGATTAAGCTGCAAACGACTACAGTCCTCCGCTCTACCAACTGAGCTAAGGTCGGATCGACGAACATTGGGTGAATTATATTATAAAAAATACCAAACTTAAAACATAAGTTACAGTACCATTTTCTCCTAATAATTTCGATTTTTAATAATTTTGGGGCGTAATTAGTCGATTACAGTTCGGGTCGGGTCACCTTTTTTTTTTCTTTCAGTAACACCAATTTCACCTTCGTGACAGAAAAAAAAAAAAGAAAAAAACGTTTAATTAACAATTTTTTGTTTCAATTAATGGAAGATGTAATGCACACCTTATTTTGCAACAGTTTCCAGATCCAAAATCCAAATCCTTCAATCGGAAGGTTGGAATCGCCGTCGTGGGTTTCTTAGATTTGTTTGGATATCGTCGGATTCTCCGTCGGAAGGTTGGCCGCCTTGAGAGACAGAGAACGGATTTTGTCGAGAGTGAGAAATCGATTTGTTGAGAGAAAGAGAGATAAAACTTGTGGGTTGTTGAAACTTGAGACAGAGAGGGCAGCAGGGCAGGCAGCGCAGTATTGCAAATTCTCTTTATTCGGTCTCTGAGAACCGAACCGAATTGAATCGGTTCATCGGTTCGGTTCGGGCACTGACACCCCTTTGACAGCACTCTAAACAACAAAACATTCTGAGTTTCACACAAAAAAAATTGCATAAAAGTTAACCGTTCATCAATCAAAAACCAATTGTCCAGAAAATAAAGTAAACAAGTCCTGCCTCTCCCCACAGTAGAGTCTCGAGGCGCCGCCCCGATTCGAACTGGTTGGATGTTGTCACAAAGCATCTCCCCCGGTCCAGTTGAGCCTCTAATTACCTCATCAGGCTCTATGCAGCTGGTTCAACGCAGGTCATTGATCTTGATCTTCTTGCAGAACTCTTGACAAGTTTGTGAACTTCTCAATCGTTTGTCGTCGAGAGCCCTCCTCAGCACCGGCATGCCCAATTCCAATTCTCTATCACCTTCGTCTTGAGGTTGTTATATAAAACTTCTTCAGACTGTGTCTTGAGATTGTTGTATATGAACTACGTACGTTAACTCTTTTTCATGTTATTCTCTAACAATTTCTACATGTTCGTCCTGAGGTTGATCTCTCCAGGGTCCCACTACTGCAAAAACTCATCTACCTTCCTTCTTATTCTTCCATTCATTCATTCCTTCCATTTGCGCAAAGCTATCTAGACCCCAGAGTCTTTTTCATTTTATTTCTAGCTCAATGCATCATTAGTGGGTAAAGGTGGAAGGTTATAATGTGGTGAACTGATCAACCTCAAGGCCTCTTACAATTTAGATTGGGAAGACAGTTCAAAATTAGGTAAAGGATTTTTTGGATGTTTGCAATGTTTTTAAAAGAAAATAACAAAACAGACACATCCATCCAACAAAAGTATGGTTTTTTGGCTCAATTTTAAAAAAATGTAATAATTATCAAACCTCATCTCAGACGGATTTTTTTAAAATAATGTTTTGTTTTAAACTTATTTTTAAAATAATGTTAGATATAAATTAAATTTAAAAAAAATGTGTTTTTCCAAATTTATTTAAAAAATAATGCCTGAAAATTAGGTGGGACTTGATTGTCTCTTGAAGAGACGACTATCCCAATTGGTCGTCTTTTTAAAAAAATCAAGACACGATCTCTTAATTGACCATGTGTTGGCACGCATTTGTGGTCATCTGTTCACAAACAATATTTATTTTTTAAAGAAAAAACAAATACTGTAATATATTATATACTAAACAGTAAAGTTTTATACCGTGTATTAAAATTTTCTTCCTTCTCTTCATAGAGACGTCCCGTTTTATGAGTGGGTAAAGGTCGAAGTTTTTTTTTAAATTCACTTATTTCTCAAATAAGTAAACTTAATCTTCAAAAATAAAATGAAGCTAGAACCTTCTACATAAATTTATTTCTTTTAAAAAATAAGATTTCATCTCTAGTACAAGAGGTTATAGAGAAACAGATTTTTTGAAAATTTGTGGGTAAATTTAAAATAAATGAGAAAAAACGGATGTATACTTAAAAAATTATAAAAAATTATAATAATCATTTTAAAGAATATTATGCATACCAAGTCCCGTTTGGAGCCCGGGTAAGTAGATAGAAGCCCTTAACAACTTCAGTCCCTACAAAAATATTATATTTATTAAATTAAATTGCAGCTTGAATTTGAATCTAAAAAGAAAATTAAACGCAGTGCGTGTGTGTTTTTTTTTCTTTGATAATTATTATGATAATAATTAACCCATTCTTAAGTTATGAAATTTTCTTTCCTCATTTTTATTTTTTTTTTATTATCAATGGAAAGAAAATACTTTACTCCTAACGGATGAATTGTGAAATATTCAAATGGTGGTAAGGACAAGATTCTTCTTTACTAATGAGGAGCAAGTATTTTACTTAAGAATTAAATTGTTTTTAATGTTTCCAGCCACGTGCCTTTTTATTACCCACTCCCTTTTTGTTCCCTTTCTTTTCAATTTGTTTCTCCCCTCTCTTTTTTGTTCTCTTAATTTCTCTATCTTCGTCTCTTTACTCTTGCATCTTTCTTCTTTTTCACTTTTAGTTATCATTTATCCCCTCGTTCCACTTTTGGAAATCTCTCTCGTGGAAGAAAGTTTCGACTTTTTCTTTTTTTTTTATAAAATAATAAAATAAGAAGAGCGGGAAAAAATCGACACCAACCGATTCATCCTTTAAATCGACCGACCGACTCGGTTTGATCATTTTAGTCGATTGGATCGATTTTTCGACTTTGTTTGATCACCCCTCTACGCAATGAAGCCGATGAACAATGCTCTCTAGGAGGAGTTTATAATGCACTTATTTACTAAAAAATACAAAAATAAAATAATAAAATAAGAAGAGCAGGAAAAAGAATGAAAAAAAAAAATAAAGAAAAAGAATCCGACCTGCCGGTTTCGGACCAGCGACCTAAGGATTAAAGCTGCCTACGACTACAGTCCTCCGCTCTACCAACTGAGCTAAGGTCGGAATATTAAACTTTTACTAAATTTTATTATAAAGTATATTAAATCTTAAAATATAACTTAAAATCCTATTTTAGTTATTGTAATTTACTTTTATCTATTTTAGTTTATTTATTTTTGCTCCTAATAAGGAGTTGTTTTGATCCCTTCATATTGTTTTCTATCTTATTTTTTGAGACATAGCTCGTTCGGTATATATTTTGTTTACAATTTTACATTTGTAAGACAATTTTTCCATAAACTCCAACGTTAAATCCACTAGTATCGTTAGTAGAATGGTTGTACGAGATTAAAATGAATCAAAACTGAGACTACAATAATAAAAATATTATTTTAACCTAAAATATAAGGTTTCTTTTCTAAATTTAATTGAAAATTTTAGATTTCATTTTAATTAGAGTTTATTTTTTTTAATGTGGATTTAATTATTTGAGTTAATTTCACCCATTTTAATTTTAATAATGTACATTCTAATTCATTTAGCTCAACCGATGGCACTTGGCAATTTTTATTAGGAATTTATTATTTTACCCGTGTATTTTATTAAATGAGACCATATCACTCATTTGAAGTCTAATAATATACATTTTGATTCATTTTGTCACTCATTTTAATTTTACTATTTTATTAGGAAATGGTCCTATTTATTTGAACGTGGAAAAGTTCAATCAACACACTCGACATGGATACTCGACACAGATACACTCTGAAGGCCCCGACGTCTGCCTCTATCAGGCGACAGCAACCCCACCTCTCCAACCAAAAAAATTTGTTGGTCGTAGATTAGTGCAAGCATCGTCGCAACCTAAAAGGACAGACACACGTTGATGGAATTTTCTTTTTTGTGGTTTTTTTGGAAACATTTCTCAAAATAAGAAACTTTAAACAAGAAACAAGATGGATTACCTAATACTTAGTACTTACAAGTCTCTCAATAACTAAAAACTAAAACTAAGAGGTATGAAATGGGAAGGATACCAATGAACAAAAAATGTGTAACTACAAAAGGGATGAGAAATTTGTTGATAAAAATCACTCACTAATCTCTCAGAAAAGATACATGATTGTCCTGTAAACACAACTACAAGTCAACATCTAATGAAGTGAAGCAATCTTTTATATCCTGCCCCTAACAGTCATTTTTTCCAACCAACATTTACATCTAGTAATAATTCACCACCAACACTAAGAAACTTTTTAGAGAACAGACAGATAAAACAGGAAATCGAAGAGTGGGACAAACTACAGCATAGAAAAGGAAATCAGAGTGAGGGTTGTTTACGCAACTTGTTCGCAACGTAGAGCAAATGGCTGATGTTTGCTGGGGGATAGTGTTGGAGCAGTTTGAGATTCGACGTAAAATCGCCTGCAAGAAGGCGTCTTCTAATGAGAATCAACATTGAGCAGCATATTCGGAGAAGTGTTTCCTGCAAATTGATCGAATATCAGGTCTAGCTCGGTTTTGTACAACTAGTTTTATACTGAGCAGAGTGAAATATATTCATTTGAAATGGATCTAATCAGTCCACAACTACAAATACATATTCACTTTGGGGGGCAGCAAGAAAAATATATTCTCAGTATGCACAGAAGTGATGGTAGAATTCTCATATGGTTTCGGCACATTCTCACGATGTGCGCGTGCATTAATGCATGAGCATCAAGTCAACAATGCCTATAATTTCTAATAACTATCAAAAAGAAAATACTGATTAACAGAATGTAGCTTGTTTATGACTAAGTGCTCTCTTCAAGTTAATGTTCAAGTGAATGTGCCAAAAGGCCCGAAACTCAAAGATTATTGACCATTTTCATTTATTAGTTTATTAAATGGTTCAAATTTTATGCATGAGAACAAGGGAAGGGAAATGAAAACTCGAAGAGGAAGAATTTGAATGTAGAAAGAAGAACTTACTAGTGGGCCCTCAGGATCACTCAAAATTGTATCCCAAATGTGAAGACTGTCTGCAAAATTGAACTCCTGGGTCAGGAGAAGAGTGATCCACCTAAATGCATAAAACTGGGGGTTTACCTGTCATTTCACAAAACAGAGCAATGTAAACAAATCAGGGGATTCTTTACAAACAAATAACAAACTTCGTTTCATAACCTATACCTATGAAGATATTTAATAGGAGCATCAATTTTAACAGTTTCCTACATGGTAATAAAAAAAACTCATGTCTCTTGGGGACTTTTTGTACACAGGGAAACTATAGTCTATGAAATAGACATGAAAAAAAAAGAACTTAAATCATAGTTTAGAATATATGAATATTACAAAAGCAAAGAAAATAGTTCGAGAACTTTTTCCCAAACAATTTTGAAATAATTATGAAAACCTTAGTGTTAGTACTTCAAATTTTATCAATTCAATTTTGATTGCACTCTCATGCTGAATGGTAATTAATCACGCAATTCGTTTTGTGTCATGCATCAAAAAAGATGAACAAACTGGAGATCGACAGGAGTCATGACAAGAAATAAGTATAGAAATAGTCATACATAAAATTAAAATAATAAAGATTTAATATTATTTTTGTCCATGTACTTTCGCCTGGGTTTTAGCCCCTAGTCCCTACGTCAATGTTTGTTCATTTTAGTTCGTATACCCATTTTTTTTCTCATTTATTTTGATAAAAAAGTTTAACATAATACTTCACAGTAAATCTTTTTTGAAATGGAGCCATGAATTAAAACGACCAAACAAACGTTTTGAAAATACAAGACTAAAATGAAAAAAGTTGAGACGGTGACCAAAATGGACATTTTGAAAGTACATGAACCAAACTGAATTAAAACAAAAACCAAAATGAACTCAAACAAAAATACAGAGACCAAAATAGTATTTAAACCAATAATAAATAATCGAACACTCAAAACTGCTTTAAAATTAAACCCTACTTTGGTAGTGATCTCAAGGTGACGCCAGAGCTCTTCATCATGCTCTTTCAGAAGCTGAGACAACTTTGTGATTGTGGAACGGATTCCCACAACACTATTATCCAATTGCTGGCAGAAATGATCCCTAAATCCACTCAACAACTCAACAAAACAAAAGAACGTGTCTGCTTCAGCATTTGCCTGAAAGTTGAACAGTAAAAGTCAATTAAGAAAAGCGAAATATAAAGTTCAAGAGACATGGTCAGGAGTAAAATTTGATAATAATATAAACAGCATAAATTTCGTTTCTCATATCTTTATAGTTGAAGTAAATGATATTTAGCAGTTAGCTGGCTAGAATTATTGTTCCTTTAGAAGGAATTGTGATCAGAGTTGGAAAAGAATTTCTCATTTGACATCTGAAACCAGATAACAACATTGTCATTAAGAAAAATAATCCATTTAATATATGCAAAAGTTGACCTCAGGGAGAGATACTGGTTCCTCTACAGAATAGCATCGGTTAAAGATATTCACAATTGAAATGAACTTAAATGACCTTTTTAGAAACAAAAATTAACTTAAATGATTCATCTTAAAGATGCATGCACAATCCAACGTAACCAAGGTTCGCCTGTTGGTTCAAAGCAAAATGCATAACAAACGAACAATCATTTTAACTCTACCAGAGTTTCCAATTATTAAAATGTGTGCCAAAAATAGGCATGAGGCAAAAAATCCGACTTACTTAGGAGTTAGGAGTCATTTTTTCAACACTACAATGCTAACATCACCTATGTTCAACCGTTTGGGGAATGAGGGATGTAAAGAAAAATTACCGCATAGTCCTCATCAGGATCACTTCTAAATACATAGTATAGAGGAGCTAAAATTTCGTTCATCCCCTGAACATATCTTATTCCCGGATTCAGCTTTGCAAATATAATTAAGATGTTTCTCAGAGCATCCTGAAAGTAAAAAGACAATTATCGTAAGATAACATCCTAACTTCTATAAAGCTGAAATTACCACCATGTCAATTATTTATGCAATAATCAAAGACTAACCTGATTAGATTTTGCCAATGATGAGTCTCCTGAGAAGAAGTGCATATCTGGATGAGTACGTTTCACATCTCGGTCAATCTGTTCTATAATCTCAGTGTCCTAACATGTATAAAATAAATTAGACTAGAATGATGTTAAAACACCTCATCGTACTGTTCTACACTGTAAAACAGTGAGAACAGAAAGGATATATATGAAACTCAGAGACAGGAATACAGGATATGACAGAATAAAATATTGAAGTAACATAAAAAATTCAGTAACAAAACACCAGCGAAATCAAATACAGCATATCTTTCCATCAAGACATTTGATAGTTTCTACCACGGCCAAGGTTCTGAAAGGGCAGATCATTACAAAACTAAGAGAAGGGAAATTTCAAATAAACATCTATCAGGATCGCAAAATAAAACAAACTATAAATTTTCAAGTGCTTTAAACTCTTTATCACCAAAATATGTTTTTCCAAATTGAGTTTTCCAGTCTTCATTTCCCTTCTTCAATTACATGTACACTTCTAGGAGTCCAGTTGAATGTACAGTTGACCCATCCATAAGGTTGATAATTTCTCATTAAAAGAGCCCTAGAAGAAAACTCATAGAGGATGGTCACAAATGAAATATTCAAGTTCATCTAGAAAATAAAAAATTCCTATTTTGGCATGGTTATTCTAAAATCACCAAGCCTCATTCCATCCCACTAAGATAAGAAGAAAAGGTTTGGTTCTTTAGTTCAAGGAAGGAACCAACACAACTACTTTAGTTCAAAGTTCATCATAGAGTGAAAAGAAAATTTTATCACATCGGCAAAAGGATTCTGATTGATAAAATGTTGAAATTTACATTATTATTTGGATTAAAGTACAGTCCAGAGTGGCCAGTAACTTTATATGTATACTTCGCTGCAGTTACATTTGCTATAATGGATTTCTTCAGATTAAAAGTGGGGATAAAATTTTTATCCGCAATTTAACAATACAGGCTACCTGGAAGTACTGATTCCAGATGCTGGTCTTCCCAAGACTTAAAGGATGCTCCTCTTGACTTATTTCTGACCTTGAGAGTAAACCTTTGTTCGTTTCATCATGCTCATAACTTTTGGCCTTCTCCAACCTCCTTGAAATTTCTGACTGACTAGCCACAAAAACATTCAGAAAACCATGTTTGTACATGCAAACAAGCAATACTAATTGCAGCATGTCCTTTTTAGCTCTGTTTATTATATGGGAACAAATTTGGAGGAGAATCATAACGATATTGGTTTGGATAGGTACAAGAAAACTGATATTGTGCGTATTACAAGTATTGTAGAAAAGGTAAATAGAAATTACCATCACGTTATATGCTAATATATAGAATGAAAATAACTTCTAAATTGGTGTGAAGCCACAGAAAAGTAGATAAGAGAGAATGAATTAAGACAATGGGAATAACATTCTCAACTAAAAAAATGTCATTTCTCTGAAAATTAGAAACCCGATTCATGGGCGAATGAATGATTACCAAGAAAAAACAAAATGAAGAGACATGGCTGTAATTCCCTTAATTTCATTTCCAATTCATTAACAAGATCTTCATATTCCCAAAGTAAGTTATCAGCCCACGATATAAAGGAAAAGGGCAAAAGGAGGAGCAAAGCTTCACAATGACTTACAGGATTCATCATAAGCTCTTCTTTAAAATGTTTGTATTGAGACCTCTTTTTAGCTAACTCAGACGTCCAGAGCCCACGATCTGATGGCAGATAACCCAATAGGAGCTGCGATCAATCAAATAAACCCTTCTTAATCACATTTTGCACTCAGTAGATAAAGTTTGCGACGAATCTAGCTAATAAAAAACTACAAAACACATGCCTTCCATACGGTTGAACGAATTCCTGCACCGTCTGGTATGCCCTGAGATGCAATTTTACGCAATTCACGCAGATTTATAACCTTCTTCGACAACTGCCATCCAAAAGATATGGAACAATCATCAAATAAACAATTCAAAACATGCAGAAGATCACAAAAAATGAAGGAAATTAAGCGGAACTCAAACTAACCTCAACGAGGAGCTGTGCCTGGCGAGATACATCCTCTGCAGAAGGGCCCGAGGAAGCGCCATTATCGTCGTTGCCGACATTGTTATTAGCCCTGGAGTCTCTAGAATCGGCCTTTGGAGACTCGGTTCTAACAGCGGTGGTCGCAGAAGGCGGAGGAATCGGAGCGGGAGGTTCGACGACGGGTTCCGGCGATGACGTGGTGGCGGCGGGTTCGGAAGAGTAGCGGTGGAGGCGATCGTCGTCGGCGGAGGTAGGGGAGGACCAAAGAGAGCTGTTGAGCCAATCCGGCACACGTTTCTTCACCATTTTTACGAATTTGAGAACAAGAATTACTGCAACAAATTGAGATGATCTTCAAACTCCCTCTTCGAATTCTAGGGTTCCGAGCTCAGTTTCCTCCATTTTTTTTCTTCTTCTTCCGATTTAATTATTCGTTAAACAAATTTTTTCCTTGAGTTTGCCGTTGCTTCTCTCTCTCTGGAAAGAAACTCTGTGGACGAAACTGGGAGAAGGTTGGAAATGCTTGGATCACCCAAGACCTACAAAAAGTTTCGTCACCGACAAATGGTAAAGCGCCACGCCGCGATGGAGAAACATAGTGGAAGTCATTATGACAAGTTTATTAATTGCTAATCTAGAGATTGCATTTTCATTCCATAAAAATAACTGGACTTTATTTGTTTCACCCATTTTTAAAATTTTTAATATACTTTTCAAAAATAACTTTTCTTTTTTATACAACTATTCCAACCTGAATTGGATTTGAATTAACGACCTCTTGGTCGTAGATAGATAGTAATTTTAACTAATTAAATAATGATCCAGTTGGAAAATAAAGGTTATTAATACCTTATATTATGTTTAAGTTGAATCTAATTTTAAATTTTAACGTGTCAAAGAGGAAAAATTATAATTTGTAACACATTTTTTAGCTTAAGGAGGGAATTGGGAATTTGGACCTCACAGCCAATTTGGTAACGTCTGTTTTTGTTACTTTAAACAAAATGTCTGATTTTGTTTCCAGGATCCAATGCCTCAACACTCAAATAAAATAATATTATGTTTTGAAACGAATTGAAAATAGAAACAAGAATTTGTTTTTATTGTTTTCAAAATTTCTATACAATGGTTAGAATGTTTCTTAAAAAAAATAAAAAAACATAAATAATTATCAAATATTTGGACCCTTTTTATGGATGTTTCTTGTTTCTAATTTTATTAAGAAAATTAAGCATTCGATAACTATTTGTATTTCTTTTTTTCCTTATTTTTTTAGAAATATTTTCAAAATTGTATAAATTTTTTGAAAACAACACAAACAAATTTCTTGTTTCTTATTCTCGTTTCTAATTTGTTCAAACATTAATAAAAATTTTGTTTTATTATCAAACCGATTCTTATTTCTTAATAAAATTAGAAACAAGAAACAGAAACGTTACCACTTACTAGGCCTTAAGTTTCTTATTTCTTAATCATGTTTCCCGTTTTTTCCAAAACATAATTACTCCATCCTTTTTTATTTTTTTAAATGCATAATAAATATAACATAAAAATTTTGTATATTTAATTTTTAAAATTAAATTTCATATAAAATTTTACTTTTTAATCTAAAATTTTAGAGAACAAAAATCATAAATAGTTATCGCTTCTTTCCATTGAAAGAAGGAACCCCCAGAATTATCTTCAAGAGGGGAAAGACTAGAAAATTTACAAGAGAGGTAAAATGATAGCATCTAACATTTTGGACGCTATCTTTTGAAATGGAAGGTAAAACCTTACAATACCAGAAGGTCGTAGCATAGTTGCTGGGCTTTCTTTCGTGAGTCGGCCTTATTTAGAATTGTCGTGCCAAGCTACATGAAACAAATTTCCGAGAGCACAAAGAAAGGTTATTTCTTGTTTAAACACTACGAGGGGAATTAAAAACTAGCCACAAAGTTATAGACATTCACTAACCATTCTGCAAGCATGGCCCAATCACATTATTTCCATCAATGCAATGGATCCCCAAGAATTCATATCCTAGCTTAGTGAAAACATATGATGAACTCAGCCCGTTCTTGACTGTTTCTGTACTCTTTGAAGCTTGTAGACGTAGAATTCTGGAAAGCGTCCATCGATGGAAGAATCAGCAACAACGAGTTTGAAATACGCAGATTACGCTGCATCATCCCTTGACAGTCCTTCGAGCTGGCCTCCCCCTCCCCTCTTTGACACCAAACCCCATTGTTGATATGTCCTTGAAGATCTTCTCATCTCTACACTGAAGTTAGTAGACCTTTTGCGGAGTGTTTATGAATATATACATAATAATCTACAATCTGTGTAAACTTATCTGACAAAAAGGGGAGCCTGAGTGCAAGAATTTTTGGTTGGTAATTATGGTAATGCATCATTCCTTTTCTTAGTGTCCAAGCCAACTTTTACGTAAAAGTTCGATCGGGAATTGTACGAAGGATTGCAGACAATGGGATTGGCCTGCAGATAGACCAAGATGAGATGCACAAAACCATATCAGCAGTCAAGAACTTGGATCACCTATGTTTAATTATCAGAAATCATAACAGGGCATCAAACCTTTAGTACACTCCATGTCTTTTGGCCTTGCAGACTAGATCTATGCTGGTGGCAATCCCAGTAATTATAGCCTTCTCGTGATTATTGAGCGGGGATTCTCTCTATCCCAACCCTTAGGCTGTATCTTCCTCCTGTTTTATTTAATATATTTTACCTCTGTTTCTTGGAGAAAAACAAACAAACAAAAAAGATGAATTAATTTGATATATTTGAAATTCATGGTCCACCCCACCCCACAAATCTTTTGGAAACAAGGGCAAATTAATATGTGGACCAGCAGCCGTATGAAAAGGAAATTGCTATAACATAAATAAAACATGACACGCATACTACAACACAACTTGTTATATTTACCTCTTTACCAATAATCTCCACATGAACAATCACCGTCCTTGAAATGATGGAATCGCTTTATATCCCGCAAAACAATCTCCCTCTGATTCATTTTACTGGCATATTTCATGAAAGAATGGCAATCCACACAAACTCTAAGGTTTTTCACTATCCTAATGGTCGTTCCTGGGGTCGTGCTAATGAGCCCGAATGCAAGTGCCAACTTTTCGCTGTGGTGTCCCAATGCATCTTCCTTTTCTTCCTCTTCAATGTTATGAAGTACACACTCAATTCCTGATGTGTATCCTTTTTCCCTGGCACCTGCACTTATTTCATCTAATCTCGAGTATATCTCTCGCGCACGGTTATGAGTCTTATCACCAGCTACAAATCGATGTAATTTATCATCGACTTCAATAAAGCTCCATCCCGGATCCTTTTGTGCACCTCTATCTCGCATTGAAATCCTCACTCTCTCTGCATCGTCCCATCTTCCTACTGCAGCATATGCATTCGACAAAAAGACATAACTCCCCGGATGCTTAGGTTCAAGCTCAAGAAGCTTCTCTGAGGCTAACTCTGCCATTTCAATATTCTTATGAGCCCTACAAGCACAAAACAGTGCACCCCATACCACAAAGTCGGGATTTATGGGCATGTTTCGTATGAAGTTGAGAGCTTCATCTAGTCGACCAGCCCTGCCTAGCATGTCTACAACCAGTGTGTAATGCTTCATAGAGGGCTCAATCAAGTAATCACGCCTCATACTGTCGAAAAACTTAAGTCCATCATTTACTTTCCCTGAATGTGAGCAAGAAGTAAGAACAGCAAGAAAAACCACACCATCTGGCTTCATACCTGCAAACATGCGAGTTTTTAGTCTATGGACAATAAAGTATCAAAATTCATCAAATAACAAACACGATATGAATTAAAACCTGTAGACTTCATCCATTCAAAATATAGTATAGCTTTCTTAAAATGTCCATGGATCGCCCAGCCCCAAATCATAACACTCCAAGTAAGAAGGCCCTTTTCTTTCGTTTCACAGAACACTTCTCCTGCAGACTCGATATTTCCACATTTTGCATACATATCCACAAGTGCAGTTCCAATAGTTAGATTTAATCTGAAACCATTGCTCGAAAGGTAATTATGAATCCTTAAACCAGCATCTAAGGCGCCAACTTTTGCACAAGCTGAAAGTGCAGAGACAATTGTGTAATCGTTTGGTTGTGCACCTTCTTCAAGCATACAAGAAAAGGTTTCTAGTGCCTTTTCAGGGTCTCCATTCTGTGAAAATCCATTCACCATTGTAGTCCAAGAAACAACATTCTTTTCAGGCATTCTCTCAAAGAGTTCCTTTGCTCTACCCAAGTCCCCTTTTCTCATGAATCCATTAATCAAACTATTCCAAGATCCTGTATCCTTCTTTGGCATTGTCTCGAATAGCTCTGTAGCTTTTACCAAATCTCCCACTCTACAATACCCATGAATAAGAACATTCCATATCAACACACTTCCGTTCTTAATTCTATCAGGACTTTCATCAAACACCTTCAAGGCAGAACTCAGATCCTCAACTTTCACATACATATCCACCAACGAGACCCTCACAAAAGAATCAAACTCGAGGCCAAACTTTAAAATTCCACCATGCAAAGCCCTCCCTACACCACCACTGGAAAGAGCCGCGGCTGATTTGAGCACAAATGGAAAAGTAAGCCTATCAGGGCTGATTTTCCACTTCAGCATTAAAACAAAGTAATAAATTGAGCCCTCGAACCTGGAATTTTCAGCGAGTCCTCGAATCAACGCATTGAAGAGGAAACTGTTCTTCATCTCGAACCGCTGAAAGATCGAAATGGCATAGTCAACCAAATTAAGCGAAGAACACGAAGAGATAAACTGGGTCACCACCCGGCTGCTGGAGAAGATATTGCAGCGGAATAGTTGCGCGTGGATCTGCCGGAGCTTGTGGGCGGTATTGGAAGCATGAATTAGATCGATGAAATGGGTTTCCAGAGATTGAACCTGAGAAGACGATGAAGAAGGCATTGAATTAAAGAAGGCGAGGCTTGGCTTCAAAAGAACATGAAGATCTTTCATTCTATTACTTCCAGTTCCATCCAATGACAAGAAGAACTGAAATGATCGAAGTATTGATTGACATTTTAGAAAATTTTGAGAGAATCAGACGTGTAAAAAAGGCGGGAAACGCGAGGGAGGTTGATCATGGAAGGAAAAATTGAAACGCCTGCATGCGTATGATTTTCATGGTACCATAGAAGTTTCAATTTCATGGAGGGATGAAATAGATATTTTTAGAAAAGTTATAAAAATTTAAAATTTAAAAAATATATTAAATATAAACATTTCATCCTTTCTAGATAAGTTATGAATACATGAAAATATCATATAAAAATATCAACATGTCATATTTAATATCATGACTCTAATAAGTAATAGCTAATTATTTTCAAGACTTTAAACGTGTATCTTTTTTTTGTTAAACTATTATTTTGGTTTTTGTCGTTTTGTCCTTCACTTTTGTACTTTAGAAAGTACAATGATCAAATGTGTTTTTTAACCTTTTTTTTATCACATTTTTATTATGACATTAGCAAAAATGTAGACATTTATTTAAAAAAAATTAGTGTATAAAGACTAAATTGAACTTTTGATTACTAAAATAACAAAAATTGAAAGTATAAATACCAAATCAAATTTTTAAAAATATAGGGACTACAATGATGCAAAACAAAAATATGAAGACAAGAACAAGTATTTAAAACAATTGTAAATTTGGTGACGAAGTATATATTTAGTGTCGATACTTTAGAAGATCTTTTCTAATGGTACCTTATAGAAGATTTTAGTAAGTCCACCAATTATCAATTTTGTGTCTAATAAGACCTTACCCTAATCAATTGCCTAGAAATCAATTTGTCTCGTACCACAAAACTAACAACGAATTACAAAAGATTTAACACGAAAAACTTCGAAATACAGGGACGATGAGATGAAAAGGCACTAATTACAGAGAGGACATCACCAAAACAAAAGGCTGTTGAATAACATTTAATAAGGTTAAATGCTCTAAAAATTTCTTGATCCAAAATATCATGATCATCATCAATCTGGTCCATATCCACAGCACAAACAAAAGTACTAAAATTTGATTTGATTTTTGAAATTTTTGTAACATGAAATTAGAGAACGCCGAAGAAGGGATTCTTTATGGCGGAGTCGAGCTCCGAGCCAGCAGAATTGAGAACTGCCCTGTCAACCTTGTCTCTGGGCAGAAACAAGAACTCACCACCTTCAATTTTCTCAAACCCACACAGCTCTAAAAACTCAATTCCCCCTCTCAGTGCACCCACTCTTTCCTGTTGCATCCAATCAGTGGAGTGAACAAAGTTTAGGAAAATGCAATGCAAATAACTGATCTATAGGGAAACAAGAAACAAGAAAGGGAGAGTACAAACAATGTATTGGAGGATATATTTTTACGGTTAAGTTATGAATCTAATCTCTAATGAATTTAAGTTACAAAGTTGTTTCAAATGGGTCCTTCAACTATAAGTTCAAAAGTATATGATAAGTTCATAAACTTCAATCTTGTATCTAGTAGGTATCTGAACTTTAAAAATATCTAATAATGAGAACTTTAAAAGCATCTAATAAACATTTACACTTTTTGATTTTGTGTCTAATGGATTCCTAAACTATGGAACATTTTTTAAATTTCATAAATTTATTAGACACGGTAGATTTTTAAAAATGCTAATGTTGAAAGGTCAGGGACCAATTAGACACAAAATTGAAAGTTCGGAGACTCTTTAGACACTCATGACCTATGAAATAAAAAATAGAAAGTTCCTATCTGACACTTTTTAAAAAAGACAAACTTGAAAGCACAAAAGTACAAAGTGCATATAAAGAATTGCACAAACTTGAATATACAGAATTGCAAACTACAAAATGCATATGAAGAGTTGCTTTGACCAAGAATTAACCTATAACCTAAACACTGCTTACTCGTGTGATAGAATGAAGTTTAATACTCTTGGAGAATGAATGTACCATAAAAAGTTCCCAGACATGGGAGAAAAAGGAAAGAAAAAAAAAAGGAGTAAAATGGTCCCATAATCATCCTCATTAGACCAGTTACCTGGAAGGTTTGGTTGCTTAGTCTGATTTTTCTGAACTTCTCTTCATCAGGACTTCTTGCCACGTTTCCCACATAAGTTAGAAGGGTTTGAAACGCTCTCTTCACTTTAGCATCATCCTCCTAGTTCAACAGAAGTTAAGCCAAGTGGTCACTCTAATCAAATGGAACTTACTTAAAAAGGAATGGAAGATAAACTAAAAATTATCATCTGGGTACCATCAGTCGAGAAATCAAAATGAAAAAGAGCAGACTTTTTATCGTGATTTTTAGGACTAATCAAGTGTTTTTAAGTAATAGTCTTCCTAAGAACTATCATAGGATGGCCTAGTGGTCAATGAGGGACATTGTGAATAGCAAAGGACTTAGAGGGAATGAGTTCAAACCATGGTGGTCACCTACCTAGGATTTAATATCCTAGGAATTACCTTGTCAACCAAATGTAGTAGGGTCAGGCAGTTGACCCGTAATTAGTCGAGGTGCGTGCAAGCTGGCCCAGACACATGGGTTTAAAAAAAAAGTAATAGTCTTCCTAAGTATTCAAACAATTACTTTAATAATATAAGAACGCACTTATCTTTAAGGCCAAACAACATGTCCATAAATCCAAGATACTACAGTTCTTTTATGGTATCTTTGATTGGGAAGTCTTGGTAATGCAGAGAAAGGACAACTAAAATGTCCTAAGCTACCAGGGAGAACCAATGGAGAAGGAACCTTTGAATTGGCTAAGTTCACGCTTCTAATTGGTGTACACTACTCTCAAATTATTTTTGTAATTATACCCCATATATAAGTAATTGTACTTTCCAAACATATTTACCTTGTGATTGGACTTTAACAATCGCAAACATTCCCTCATTTGCTCTGCCTTTGAAGCAGGTCTAACAGGCAATGAGATCTGCCGTTCAAATTAACAAACATTTGATCACAGAAACTCAGAGCAGTGCAGAATTAAAAGAGTAAATACCAGATTCATTCAATGGATCAGGCAGTACCTTTTTCTCTTCAACAACAGGTGCTGAAGGTTTTGCAGTCGAAGGATCTTCTGGCGGCAGTCCAAGCCTCCGTCTTCTTTCTGCCTGTGACAAATAACCTTTTTAAAATAAAATTCACATCCTATTATCGACTTTCCCACAACCCTTTACCAGCCAAAATAGCATTCCTCTTGGTCCAATCACTTCGTTCTTCTAGTTCAACATTTCATGATAAGCGGAAATTCTATTCTAACTTTTCTTAATACTAAATAGATATAAGTGTTTCACCTTTTTTATGAGAAACTAAGCTTTGAAAGGTGAAGTTTATAGACTAAGCTTTCAAGTAAATAATCTTTTGGCTAACTGGGAAGTTTTTTTAATCAATTAGCTCATTGGCATTGCCGCTTTTATATTTTCATCCCATCAAACAAAATATTTTTTAATTAATACTTTTTCCTATTAAAAGACTATTATAATGGAAATTTTGCTCACAAAAATCTTGACTAATCTCAGAATATTTGGAATCCGAAACATGAAGAATATAAATATCCTAGCTTGGCCAACTTGACTTAAAAAATGATGGGACACACGTCACCACAAAGGCTTGATCTCACAATCCAGAGAAATAAGACTCTCTCTATAATTTGCTCTTTTGACCAGTAGACCAACTCACTAGTTAACTAATTGGAATTAGCATTTGCAGCTTAATTACCAATATGAACCATACTCATGAACCAACTTCTTTGAAACTGACGGGTACGCATTATCACTCTTTTTCAGAGCTGAGGTCACTAAATAAATTAGTAAAAGTGTAAAGTAAAACTACAACACTAAATAATCCAACATGCATTGATGCATTGTAACATTTCAGATTAATCTGAAAAGTAATCAGAGTCATAAATCAATGAAAATCCTACATCAAAAATAAATCAATGAAAGTTGATTCATAGAGAATAACACACGTCAAAAGTATTTCAAAAGAAAATCTCGTACATACTTGATTGCATTCATCAACAGAGTTTTCCAGGATTAGGAGTTATCAATACCTTGTCCTCTTCAAGTTTTTGACGAATTTTATCTCTGGCTCGTTTCTCTTCTTCTTTTTCAGCTTTCCTCAAGGCCATTATTCTGCAGAGGGAAACATATTTTGCAGTAAAAGATGGAACAAACTTGAATACAACATAGTAAGAATACCATAACAAGGACCCAAGAATAACCTTTTTCTCTCATTTTCTTCCTCAATTCTTTTTGCTTCTAAGAGCTCCTTGCCAATTCGAATTCTCTCCTGAGAAAAACAAATACATAATAAGTTATATATCCAAGGCATGTTGTCACAATCAATAAAAGCTAAGAGATCTGTTTTTACTAATCTTAACTTTCCCATGGCCAAATGACTTCTAGTTCTATCACTAAAGGAAAGAAAGAAAAAAGAGCTTGATTCGAATAAAATTTTAGAATGAAAGGACAATAAGTCTTCATCCTGACGTTCCACATTGATTATAATTATTCTTTGAAAGATTTCGACAGAAAAAAATAATGTGAGCAATCCAGGTAGTTCATAAATACCTTTTCCCTTTCTCTCTCTGCTATCTTCTCTTCCTCCTCTTTTTTCTTCCGAGCTCGTTCCCTTAAAAATAGTTCACCATATGAGGAAAGAATGGCAAGCAAATCACCAAAAGTTTCCCAGCTCACCAAACAAACAATTTTAATTGGCAATTGTGCAGTCAGAGGAATATTCATGATTGGCTTATTCAGAATTTTGTTGGGCATTAGACTTAAAAATAAGAGCAAGATGTTGTGTATTATCATGGCAGGGGTAGTCTTCCGAATATTTTAAATTAGAGCAGAAGCAGTGCACCTTTGAAGATACATGAATTAGCGATAATAAGTTAGTTGATAGAATTATTTTCCCTACTCCAAGTTGGGTTCTTTTGGCCAGGCACTTTATTATTTGTATTCCTTTTCTACGTCCAAAGTATATATATATATATATATTGTATAGGTAATCCTTTTGCTTTTGTAATAGTAATACAATCTAATAGGAACTAGGAAGTCCTTTTTTGAATTTTTTTGAATTCTGGGAGATAATTTTACTCCCCCTCTTTGGTTTTACTTTCTGTTTTAATTAATTCATTCTTACCCA